CGGTCATTGGCGCTTTTTCCAAAGGCCGACACTCGGGTGGAGCGTTAAAACAATCACCTTGACATTCAACGCCACGTGACGTACAAAATAACTGAGCACCGCAGACAAAAATCTTTCGAAAACGCAGCGAAGTCAAAATTATCTAAGAAAAAAGAACGACGAAAAACGATCGACTCCGGAGAACTTTCGTTGCCGTCCATTTCAGAATCTTTTATCTGTTATCACGTCTTTATCTTTCTAGATAAGGTTTAGAATAACGCGTACAAAGCTATAATCTTACCTGTTGTTTTGTATGCGCGCGGAATCTCGTCTCCCACACAAACGGAACAACATTCTCTGAAGGACCCTGATGATGAAGGCAGCAAGCACCTCGGAAACTTCCACCAAGCCACAACCCGGAAGACAAGAGACCAGACGGAAAGAAGCTATTTGCGAGACTCGGACCTGGATGGGCGCATCAGAACAGGATCCATTGGCCGGCTGTTGTGAACACGGCTATGAACATCTTCCGCTGCTTGTACGAGTTGGCAATCGCGGTACAGGGGCGCCCCAGGTTGTCCTCCAAATTGTGTAATTTCGGGTTCATCCCGATTCCAAATATTCTACGACTGAGACGCCAACAGAACGAATGACAAACAGGATGTCATGACCCAGTCCGTTGCTGCGGGGAACCAGGCACGCCGTCACAACAATCAGAAAACCACAATAATAGAAATGTCAAGGAAAACGAACGCGAACCGACATTTTATCTCGCAGCCGTCACCCGCAATCAAACTGACTTTTTTTTTCGGAACACGACGGAATGTTCCAAAAATTCATTCTGGGATGTTCCACGTACGGACGAACGCCTCGCGGTCTGCGACTTCAAAATGGCGCGAAACGAAGTTCTAACCGGATTAATTAATAATGGTCACGCCTTTGTTCAAATGAGGAACATCAGTTTAATGACTCCACAAGCAGAGCTCTCTGGCGAGCGGCGTCGAACATTATTATTTTGCATTTGTCGACAATTACCACATTAATTCTACAATTCCTGTTGCAAATCTGTATTGAAAATAAAGACAAGCTGATTCATGGTCAACCGAGCAGTTAACTTCGCCTTTCTATGACTTTTTTTAACCCTTTGAAGCCGAAGCTCGTCTTCATAATATTTACGAATCCAGACCGTACCGCGAAGAAAACACTTCACTTAACCATTATAAGTCGAATCAGGCGGCACCAAATAAGATTTAACAAAAGAACATCCCGGTCAAAGCCTTAAAGATTTAAATTTAAAATACGGAGTCCAATTTCTTCACTGAAAGAACCTCACATTGTCACTGGCGTAGCAGTCGACGGCAATTCGGGTCTAATCTAGTTTTTGTGGTAATTACACACAGAACACAGCAACAACAATGGAAAAAATATCAACATCAAGACGATAAAGGCAGGCCAAAGTGTGGGTTAGTTCAAGAAACAAACACAAAAGGAATCTAAATCATAATTTCCACCGAAATGCACGAGGGTAATATTAAAATGGGTATAAATGCAGGCCGGATTCATCCGAGGGCGGGGTCTTGCAAGCCCAGTATCGACTTCTGAGGTTCCATTTCTTGGTTAGCCGAGCAACTCTCAGCTTCTGAACGACCGTGTTCCGCTTGAGTTACTCACAGTATTTTGGCCATATTTATCAAACAGAACACATTTAAAATCAAATTACACGTTTTACAGGTTAAGAAAAACCACTGGTCACAGAAAATTTGTAGGTACTACTAAAAAAAAATTGTCGTAAATGACGTATCACTGCCCCTACGAAACGAAATACCTTAAAACAGGTCACGACCACTTCGATCCACATCCTTTGTAATTCATTGCCATCCTGTCACGTGAGCTACTTACTGACAGCGTCGTTAAATAAGCCACGGATATAAATAAAGCACAGTCTTCGCTACAAAAGGAGCAGAAGGATTATTATAATAATTATTATAATTATATCCGAGCATGTGCCGCGACATAATAAGGCGCGGCTTGCGTGGGTACCCCGAGGTCGCTGGTGAGCCGAGTCCGGCATCGGTGTGACGGACGGAGAGACGGACTGCAAGGGCCTTGCTTTCGTTGTATCAAAGCCGATGTGGTAATTCTTCCTTCTAGTATAACTTCGCACACAAATAACTCCTGAGTTACTATTTCAAATTTTTTGGATGTAACAACAATATTTATCTACTCACACTCCTGTAAATTGGGAACCAACGCTATAAAATTCTACTCCTTCACGAAAACCTTTCTTTCTGTCTAGACATAACACACTTCATTCACGTATCAACTACGCAACATGACAAATCCAATTTCAAGAACCTAAAACGCACAAACATTCAGTCTGGTGTTACAAGTTTTCTGGGTGATCTGCGATAATAAGCCCACTACTTTTCAACAGAGGCACCGCCTGTACAAACTCACTTGATTTGTGAGCGTTGCCTGCCTGCCTGCCTTCGCCATTCAGACAGACCAAACCAGTCTACACCATTCGACCGCTTAAGCAGGGGGAAAAATATAGCCGTAAATTAACCAGAACACACATACTTTTGCGATTTATTTCTGCCGATACAATGACTCATTTGGATGGATGGCAGTCAGAACTATCGGCACACAAACAAAAGAGAGAAAAACGCTACCCTGAACATCTCGGAGAGGGGTGGACGGCTCCTTCGGCAGCCACGTAACCGACTATTGACGTAGATGCAGCCCCAACTGCGTATCAGCAGCTGTCCACTGGAACGTACGTACAATGGCACTCAGAGCGTATGAATGACAGACACAAACGTGGCATTCCACTAACGAACGAGCTTAGAACGTACTTTCATACCACTGCTCACTTCCGTAGTAAAAATAGGTTACAATGTATGGAACTGGACTGAGCTGATACAGCGCAGTCAATGGAGTAGAAGGAAAGAAATTCAAAATAATTAACTGCCCGAGGTAAAGTGCACATCTGTTTGTATCAGAAACGTAACAATGTAAACAACAAGGTCTTACCTTCAAGCGTAACGACGAGAAGAAGTTACTACGCATTTACAGAGCACAGATCCCTAACTGTTGTGATTTCGGTAACTCTGATTGCAACATAAAACACACAACACAATGCAAATCACTGCCTGCTGCAACTCTACACCAGCACCAAAACAAAATTACGTAGGTACCACTCACAGTAAACACTACACCAGTTCACCACTCCGCCACTGCGACTGACTGCAGCAGCACCAAACAGATTTTTAACTAGTACGGTTCCTACATTTCCCACACGGCGCGCCACTTGTCAGCGTGTTTACGTTTCGTTATGCGCAGCAAATCGCGTTGTGCAAATGAAGGTTTTAACGAGAGACAGAAGGAAAAGAAGCTTCGTCACGGAATATAATTTAATTCCGGAGTTAACTTGCCAAACATGAATCATTAAGCCTTTCAAGCTACGTTTCGTCACGCTATTAGCGTTACCATGAGCGAGACAAATATTTATGGTTCGCATATTTGTCGGCAGAGTACACCATCTGCTACCTGCACAACTGCGCGTTATGAGGTCAGTGGCTCCAGTTTCTCGAACCCAGTGTAAGAAGGAGAAGAAATATGTCTTTTTTTTTGTCGTAAAATTATTCAACTACCACAAAATATCTCTCATTCTCGTTTTAGAGTTTCAAGACCTGCTCAATTCAAACTGAAACACGAATGGTTCAGGAAGGAGAACAGTCTACCCAGGCTGCACAATAAATTTCAACCTCGGATCGATTCAAACAGACGGACCTGGGGTGGGGGACGTTAATTTGAAATCGCTTCCGCCATATTGACTAAAATTACATCACGTGACATACCGATGTTTCGGTTCTTATGAAGTTACTGCCATCGATCTGTCTCCAAAACAAAAATATTTAAAATAAACATCTGTCTCCGGAAAATAGAGCAATATTTTTTAACAATAGCGAACAACCAGTTGTTTTTCATCAGTGGCCACGCCTTTGAAGCGAGTTGCGACTACAATTACAAAATCGAAACACGTGACCATTAACACATTTGCACATGCGCAGGAACATTATGAAAATACGTTTTGGTTGGAAGCTTCCTGGAAGGGAAATAAATAACAATCTTATGAGATTTCAAATAATCTCATACGTAACGACAAACGACTGCGTTCAGAAATAAT